CCGAATAACTCTGGGAGGTGAGTCGTTTTTCCCTTGTGTTTGACTCTTCATGACCCCGTTTGGGGTTTTCTTGGTAGAGATGCTAGAGTGGTTTGCCATTTCCTTCTTTCCAAGACAGAGGCAACGGTGCGATATGGCTACCGACAAAGCCTCTGCAATCTCAGGTTGCCTTGGGAGAGGCTCGGTGTCCAGGAATCAAGCAGCGGTCATCTCTGCTGCCGTGGGCCCTGGACAGACCACAAAGCATTGGGTTCAGTTCTGGGCATCACAGGGTAGGAAAGACTTTGATATGGTTGAGCCCATCAAGAGAGGGCACCAAGGATGGGGAAGGGCCTAGAATTCACACCCCATGGGAATCAGCCGAAGGAACTGCAGGTATTTAGGCTGGAGAAGGGGGGAAGGGCATGGCCGTGACTTCAAGCATTTGAAGATATTGAAGAGGCCTCCTGCGTGGAGGAGGGAACGGAGCTCTCGCAGAGGACAGAATCCATAACAACGGGTGGAAACTGCAAAGAAGTCGATTCAGGCTTGATTCCCACCAAATCTTCCTAACCATGAGAGCCTTCCCCATGTGGAATGAGCATCCTCAGGATCCTGGTGGATGCAGTCAGTCAATCTATAAGTATTTATTAAGTGTCTGCTGTATGCCGGACCCTGAGGATACAAAGACAAAAGATAGTCTCTGCCTTCAGGGAGCTCCCAATCTTGTGGTTCCTCCCCCAGGAGGTCTCTAAGTAGAGGTCAAGATCACTGGTCAGCTGTTCTAGTGGGGCTGCCGCTTCAAGCACAGGTTGTGGAGGTGGCACTGGGGCCCCTGCCCACTCCAAACTTCGGTGATGCTGGGAAATCCCAGCTCTGACCCGTATCGTGGGAGCTGCATGGGTTCGCGTGTTGGGGGACAGGAGGATGAGGGTGAGGAAGTCCCTTTCCATCATAAAATCAGGGACACCTTTCTGAGCCTTGGTCTCTTCACCTGTACAAAATGGGGGTGACATCTACAGTACCTAATTCCCCAGGCTGCAGGAAATCTCAAATGAGATAATGTCTATAAAACAGTGCCAACTTGAGAGCACCCTAGCAACTTCAGCTGATGTTATTCTCATCAGCCTGTGTAGATCAGAAGACTTCTATGTGCCTAGCCAAACCATCCCGAGGGACATTCGGAAGATGCACTCTCTCTCCCTCTCTCTCTTCCTCTCTCCTCCCTCCCCCCATCTCTCCCTCCTTCTCCCTCTCCCCTGCTTCCCCTCTCTCTCTTTCCCCCTCCCTATCCCTTCTCTCCATCTTTCCTCTCCATCTCTCTCTCTCTCCCTCTCTCTCCCTGTCTGGCTTGGCCACAATTATGCCTGGAGACTGCATCCCTCCATTCCCCAGGGGAGTGTTATAATTATGCTGTTTTCAATCCAGCAAGGAACAAATAATGGGTGACTTCATAGCCGGAAGGATGGGTCAGTCACACAGGATTGTGCAGGGTTGAAATGAATGCATCCCAACCTGGAAGGGTTTTGCTTCCCTTCATTACCAGCCTCAGGGAGGAAGACAATAAGCCCTGCTTCTATGCCCTCTCTGCCCCTAGAGGGGGGTCAGCGGTGCAGCCCTCCCCTACGGCCCACCCAGCTGGGTTTGCCCCTCAGTCCCACCGTCCTCCCTTTCAGGAAGCTTCTCTCCTCTGAGCCTTCTGGGACTTATTTTGACAAACATTTGCTTAGTCTCTGTTTTGACATTAGAACCTCCCCCTACAAGCAGGCTCAAGAACTGTGGTCACAGCAACTCAGTAATGCATTTTCAGCATGGCTGCCATCTCCGTCTGGTGCCACTGGAGGACTGACGATTAATGTCAGGAACCAGGAGGTGGGAATTTGCTCCATCAGGCAGGCCGGCTTAGCCAGTTGGCCAGAGAATGTTTGCTACAGTCTGTCCTCCCCTAGAAAACCTGTAGCTAGGAGTGGAGAAGAAGGGGGAGACAAGGAAGAGGCCAGGGAGACAAGGGAGCTTTCCTCACCAACCACTAAGTAATAATTAGACAATTCGTTTTCTGGGGCCCTGGGTTCCAAATTCTTCTCCCATTTCAAATGGAAAGCACAATGGTTTATTACAGTACCACAGCCTGAAGGGTGGCTTGGAATAAGGGAACCCCATCAGTTACCATCCTAGAAGGAGTCACCCAGCACTTATGCAAGGGACTTCAAGACCTGGCTTTCACTGTTCCCTTGCCAAGCTGAGACACTTTATTCCCTGGGGAGTCCCACCCTGGGAAACCTCAGATACTACGATCATGATGCAGAGCTGGAAGAGACCTTCGAGGCCAAGGCCAATTCCCTCATTTTTACAGATAAGGAAACCAAAGCCAGAAAATGTAAAGGACTCGCCCAAGGTCACACAGGCAGTGGGCATCTCAGCCATGATTTGAACCTGTGGAGTGATTCCAAACCCAGCATTCTTTCCACTGCACCACACTGACTGTCCAAGCGTCCAGCTTACAACCTGTGTGCCCCAGGGAAAGTCCCTTCCATTCTCTGAGCCTCAGGTTCTGCCTCTACAAAGTGAGGGTAGCAGATAAGACCCCTAAGATCCTTCCCAGATCTAAAGTCTAAAGACTCTGAAAACTTAGTGGGACATTGGGTGCAAAATTATAAAGACCAAACTTGGCCCTAAAGAGAGAAGATAAGGAGATACCTCCCCAACCTGAATATTTCATATAATGTTGGATTTTTTAAAAAAAAATTGTTGATTAGTTTAGTCAAAATTTCTTTTTCTTCTCTCTCTCTCCCTCCCTCCTTCTTTCTCACTTCTCTTTTCTCTCCTCTCTTTTCTTTATCTCTTCCTCTCCTTTTCTCTCCTGTCTCTCTCCCTCTCTCCTCTTCTCTCTCCCCTCTTTCTCTTTTTCTCTCCTCTCTTCTTCTTCTTCTTCTTCTTCTTCTTCTTCTTCTTCTTCTTCTTCTTCCTCCTCTCCTCCTCCTCCTCTCCCTCTCTCTCTCTCTTTCTCTCTCTCCCCCTCCCTCCTTCCTTCTTTCTTTCTCTCTTCTCTTTTCTCTCCTCTCTTTTCTTTCTCTCCTCCTCTCCTTTTCTCTCTCCTCACTCTCTCTCTCTCTCTCTCTCTCTCTCTCTCTCTCTCTCTCTCTCTCTCTGCTTCCCTCCCTCCCTCCTTTGCTTTATCTCTCCCTTTCCCCCTCTCTCTCCTTTGTTATAAGGGATTGCTCTTTGGGAGGGGAAGAAAATGTATGGGGAAATACAGGCAATATAAAAACAAGAGACATCAATAAAGAGCTAAGTTTAAAGATCTAAGACAAGAGGAAGTAGATAACTCATGCCTAAATCCAACTGAATTAAATTCAAGAGCTATGAGTGATTAAACTGGACAGCGTACCAGAAGCCAACTCACAGGCAGCCCTACGTTCAACCTGAATATGATTATAATTACACAATAATGATAATACTGTTGCTTGATATATGATTTGGGAAAATAAAATACTATTAAACTTCAAAAAAAAATAATAATATTGTGGAGAGGAAGCCCGGTGTATGAATGGAGGGCTAGCCTCCGAAGGAGAAAGCTCTGGATTCCAGACCTCCTGCATCCCAGAAGGGCTGTGTCCCTGGCCACGCCCCTGAACCTTTCTCAGTGCCCTCAGGCAACTTTCCAAGACTGTAAGTTTCATAGACTTGTACTGATTGTCCTTACAAGGAATTCCTGATACCAATGAAATCCCCGACTCTATAGCTCCACCCTCAAATTAATATTTTATTAGTAATAACTAACATTTACACAACATTTTATAGTTTTCAGAGCATTTCATAAACATTATAGCCTTGGGTCCTGGGGCTTCAGAAAGGCTCTTGATCAGCTGATCTTCATAACTCTATGGCTCCCGTATTTCAGGTATGATCATCTCCTTCTTCCAGACAGAAAGGTTAAGGAGCTTGCTTACAGTTAACGTCAGATCAGGGATTCAAACTGAGTTCTTCTCAACTCCAAATCCAGCATTCTCTATTATGCCACGTTGGGCAAAAAGAGCTGGCCAAGGACAGGCTTTTCCTATTTCTGAATTCCCTTACTAAAGGATAATTCAGATTTGTAATTTTCAACATGTGTAGTTCTGGGTTGGGGAGTGGAGACCAAAGAGTCAGAATGAATGAACAGCACTTCCCAAACAATTTAGTTTTGGCCTGAATTCCTAGAGCTTTCAGCATGAGTGCCTAAAATCCTGTCCCTCCTAACATCCATCCCCACCCCTCATTCTGAAATCATTAGGGGCTTAAAGTTCCTTCTCCCACTTGGAAACACAGCCAGAAGGCTGATGCAAAGCTAGAGACTTTGGAAAAAGAGCGGGGGAAGGGTGTGGGAGATGGGGGACCAGCACATGGGATTCTAGATCTGGGAAGATTTCTTCTACCAGTCAACTTCAATAAACTAGTGGTTCCTTGAGAGATGACCCTTTCCTGGCAACCAGCCCGAAACAGAGAAACGGAATGTCCTCCCCTACCCTGAAGAGTGAAAACATGGGCTAGGGAGTTAACAAGAGACTCAGGAGAGCTGGGACATTAGAAGATAGGGAACAAAAATCACCCAGGTATTCAGTAGTAAGTCACAGGGGTAACTGTGCTGGGAGTCACCTGGATCACATGTGATTCAACCCAGCCCTGACACTCACTAACTGCGTGACCTCACTACTGACCCTCAGTTTCCTCATCCATAAAATGGGAATGGTGATACTCTGATAGTGTGATGTAGGGAGAAGAGATGGTATCAGGATGGTTCAAGATCTGCTTCTGAAACACATTAGCTAAGTGACCCTGTGATTGTAACTCTGAGTGAAGCTCTCCAAGAGGGTCAATCTATGTTAGGACAGCTCCCTACACCCATGAAGGTCACAGGACATTTGCACTGCTTCCCTCCCAGAGCTGTGGAGGGGCGCATGGTAGTTAAGTGGGAAGAATCCCAGTTCATCCAGAACTTTCTGTGGGAACCTAGGCAAGGCTCTGGGCCTCAGTGTCCTCACCTGTAAAACTGGAGAGTTCTGAATCAATCACGTGAAGTGCCCACCACACACTGGATCTATTCTGCACGGTCTGTGTTCCCACTCGTGCTTTCCGCCAGCAAGCCCTTTGAAGTCAGGGATCCCAACGGATGGCACCTGGGTAGCACTGGAGAAATGTCTGTTGATAGATTGTGAACCTCAGAGCGCTTTGATATAAGATGGAACGCACTACCCACAACCCCTCAAAGCTCTTCCCTGCCCTCTACCCTCACTGCAGCTTCAAACTGAGTTCAGATAGAGGGCAGAAAGGTCCCTGCTCTGGCTAGGGAGCCAGTCCCACGAGGTACACCAGCCCTCCAGTCTGCCCACACCTCCCAGGCTACAACAGCTAATCTTCGAAACTTCATTGAATAAATTTCACAGCGTTATAGGCAATGTCAGAATAGGGGGAAGAGTTTTTGGATTTGGAGCTGGAAGCCCTAGGTTCAAATCCTTACTCTGTTGTCTGTGTGACCTCAGACAATTCAATCAACCTCTCTAGGCCTTAATACCTCACCTGGGAAAAGGAGTTGGACTAGATGGCTTTGCATTCTAAATCTGTGACGGTATTGCTTAGAAATTAAATTGTCAAGCCAGAAGAAACCTTAGAGACCAACAGGCTCAGAGAGAGAGACAGGGACTGGTCCAAAGTCACACAGCAGGTAAGGCGAATTCTCTAGCAGACTGAGAAAAGCACACAGAAGTACAGTGGACCGAGTGTGATCCCCAGGGGAACCAGACAAATACTTTTCAAGTTGCCTGTGGCTTCTAGGAAGAAAGGTCTTTATTTGGGTAAATCTGTGAGCTGTTTATCAGCTTAAACTCATTATCTGCACATATGGTCTTTGCACTATGGTTTGGGAAAATAAGAGGGGGAAGGAACAGGCCTACACTGGTTGATGAAATGTCATCCACCAAGTGCCAGAAATGAGGGCTTTTTGTCAATGACGTCAAATTAGGCTCCCTGCCATGAGCGAAGGGGCTACCAGAAGGATAGTCATAATATTTTAACTCTGCAGGAATCCTTCGAGGAGGCCCAAGGGGGAGGGGGAGAGAAAACAAAGAGAAAGGGGATTCATCTCACTCCTCTCCCCCGAAAAGAAGCCAATGGGCTCACTTATCATTTACAAGATGCTTATTGACCAACCGCCATGTTCTAAGCGCCATGGCCAAGGAGACATATTCTCTGTCCTCAAGGATTTTACCGTCCGGTAGGGGAGTAATAAAAAATAAAACATAGAGGCAGCATACACCCACACATATATGGTTAAAGACATGATAACAACAGCTAGCATTTATATAAATATTTAAGATTTACAAAGCGCTCTACAAATATTACCTAATTTCATCCCCACAATAACTGCAGGAGGTAGGTGCTATTCTTACTCCCATTTTACAGTTGAGGAAAACTGAGGCAGGTTAAGTAACTTGCCCAGGGTCTCCTAGCTAATGAATGTATGAAGCTGGATTTGAACTCAGGTCTTCCTGATTCAAGGCCCAGTGCTCTATCTATTATACCATCTAACTGCCTCTGAAGCAAGACATTTCCTAACTTACTCATTCTCTACGATTCTTTGCCCTTGGTCTTTGTGGCAGGATATTTATGCATTTATACGTGTATATAGACATACATACATACATACATACATATATTTACTTATTTGTTTGTTTGTTTGTTTGTTTATTTGTTTGTTTATTTATAGAAGTATATTTATACTTCAATACATCCACGATCCTCTGAGAGGCAGCTGGTGGCTCACTGGATAGAGCCTGGAATCCAGAAGACGTGAGTTCAAAGCCATCCTCACACACTTCCTAGCTGTATGACTCTGGGTAAGTCAATTAACTTCTGTCTGCCTTGGTCTCCTTCTCTGTAAAATGGGAATAATAACAGCACCTCCCTCCCAGGCTTGTTATAAGGCTCAAACTAGATAACAATTGTAAAGTACTTAGGATAGTGCCTGGCACACAATAAGCACTATGTGAACATTATCATTATTCCCACCATTTCGTGCGCCTCTTGTCCATTTCCTTCTATGAACTGATAGACACACACACACACACATGCACACACTAGAGGCCTTGAATGTATCCTGGGTACTGATAAATCACTTGATGTCTATCTGCCAGCTATCCTTCTCACAACACGCATGTAAACATACGTGACACTGATGAGGATTCTCACAGTGAATCACACCACCACTAGGTGGCACAGTGGAGCGAGAGTTCGATTCCGATTTAGGAAAACCTGAGCTTGAATCCTGTAAGGACTTTTCAAACCACACTCAGTTTATCTGGAACCACATCCCAGCTGAGGATGACCCAATGCTACTGAGTTTCTTGAGCCAACGTAGTCCAAATGGTTCCAGGAGCTTTGTTCCCTGGGGTTGCCAGGAGGATAGGCAATGTCCCCGAAACCTGCATCTCAGTCATCTAAGCTGCTTCCTTCCAAGGTGTCAAGGACAGGGCAGCCTAGGGAGCTCAGGCTGGGGAGAGAGAAGCAGGACGATCGAAAGTGTGGAGACCAATGATGCTCTCTGAGAAACAGTGTCTGGTCACAGCCATGATCCACAGTCTGAAGGAGACCCATGTGAGGCCCCATCCCAAGGGAGGAGCGGTGAGTACCCTGATGTAAGGGAGGTGGAAGGACAGCAGGGATCAGTCGGCCAAAAAGCACATATTAAGGGCATACTATGTGTCAGACTCTGTACTAGTGGTGGAAACACAAAGACCAAAATGAATGAGACAGTCCGAGCCCTCAAGGTGCTTATAGTCTAGGATAAACATTTTTAGCAGAAATAGGAGACAGGGCAACTAGAACATCATCCTAATTACTATTCTTTAACATTCAGACTAGTAGCTTCACACACCTATAGAAATGGACCACTAAATCATTGACATAAAGCTCTCAGCTGCATACTGACTTAGTTTTAAAATGTAACATTCTGTTTTATCGTATTTTTACTTATTTTGTTAAATATTTCCCCATTACATTTTAATCTGGTTCTGGTACACTTGGGAGTGTCCTGGGACAGGTGTTTAACATCTCTGAGTCAGTGTATACTTTTTTCACAATCATCTACCTCCTGAGGTAAGTAGGGCTACTATTATTACGCACATTGTACAGATGAGGAAACTTCGGCTTACACCCAGAAACTGGGGCTTTGATCCTGTTTCTCATCTTGGCATCCAGTGCTATTTTCACTGCACCTCACCCTAAGGTGAAAGAGAAGTGGTACAGAAAAGACCTATCAAACTCTTGGCCCAAGGGTTGCTGAACCAGATTAAAATACAATTGGGAAATGCTTAACAAAATAAATAAAAATGCAAAAAAAAAAATAGAAATAATGTTAATTTGTGGTTTTCTAAGTCAATATGTGGCCCCCAGAGATTTGTTTCTATTTGAATGAAACTGGCTAAGGAGACAGAGGACCTGAGTTCAAATGCTATGTTGACATGGTGTATGTGTATGACTTTGGCCAAGTCACATACCCTTCTTAGGTCTCTGTTTTCTCATCTCTAAAAAGAGAGGACCGGACTGGAAAGTCTCTGAGATCCTTTGCAAGTCTAGATCCAAAAGTGAAGTCTCTCTTCTCTCCTCCTTTCTTCTCTCTTCAGCACTCCTCCTATTCTCATCTCTCTGTCTCTCTCTGTCCTGTCTCTCTGTCTGTCCCTTCCCTCTCCCCCCACCCCAGCCCCATTCTCTCTCCCCTATTCTCTCTCTTCTTCTCTCCAGGTCTCTTACGTAAGTCTCCATTCCCCTTGAGAGCTGATCCTCCATAAACTAATGAGCTCTGCCTCCCTTCTCCCTCTCCAAATTAACATTGGGTTCTGGAAATTAACGGGTCTTCCAACCACCCATTGCCATCTTAACTTCAGACAGGTAAAGGATATTAAAAACTCCTGTCATTTTAATCGGGAAGGAAAGGCTGGACTTGGAGAGAGGCTGGGAAAGAAGAGATGAGAGAAAGAGAGTTGAAATTTCCCAGGATCCTCCTGGGGTTTGTCTGGGAGGAAGAACTTTGGCTTAGGAGTCAAGGAGAAAGACCTAGCCCTGGCTCAGCCCCTAGTTTGCTGTTTGATTTCAGACATCAGATCATTGGATGTAGGTCTGGAAGGGACCTTAGAGTCCAATTTGCCAAGTCTCCTTTGTTTTAGAGATAAGGAAAATGAGACCCAGGGAGGGACAGAAACTGCCGAAGGTCACACATATAAGGAGCAGCACCAGGATTCAAACCCAAGCCCTTTGACTCTTGCCATACAAAGGGCTCTTTCCATTACATACCATGGCCTAGCCTCAGTTTCCTCATCTGTAAAAGAGGGAATTGGGCTCAATTCTTTCCTTCCTTCAATCAATTAACAAGTATTTATTAAGTACCTACTTGCCCAGGGTCACACAACTAGTAAGTGTCTGGGGCAGAATTAGAACCCAGGTCTTCCTATTGCCAAGTCAGTCAAACGAGCAACTATACTAGGCCACGTCCAAGGTCACTTCCAGCCTGAAATCTATGGTTCTATAATCCCAAGACACAAATACAGATGACTCTAATCTGAGCTAGCATAAGAGAATCACATTAAAAAGGTTATCATAGTTGATCTCGAAGGATCTTCCAGCTTTCACATTCCATGCTACTCAATCATGCTCCAGAGCTCAAACAGACATCAGAAGCATCTCCTGGGAGCCCTCCCTTTTTCTTCCACTTTCACTAAGCTTCCTTGGAAGCCAAAACTTGAGGGAAAGGAAAGCTGTGTGACCTCCCCCAAGTTACCGCCCCCTCTCTGGGACTCAGTTTCCTCACTTGCAAAATGTGGAGGTCTAAGTGATCCCTAAGGCCCTTTTCACCTCTAGAAGCCTATGGTTCAAGGTAACAGATAATAATAGGTATCAGCTTTCTGGTAGCTCTCTGGTTTGCAGCCTCTGGGCCCACCACCCTTCTACAATACTGTTCCTCTTCTCCATTGCAGAGAAACAAGAAAAAAGTCAGTGAAAACCACACTATTTTTCTGGTAGAGTGGAATGTCTTAAGTATAAAAATGTATTCCTCTCCACCCCTTTCTCTCTCTCTCTCTCCCTCCCTTCCTCCCTCCACCTCATCTATTCAAAATAATCTTTTTTTTTATGGTAACTTTTGTTTGTAGAATATTTTGGTGGCATCCAAGGAAAACATGAAGCTGGCTGCAACAAACGCAGGAATATTAACCATCTTTTAGGGACTGTTTCACATTTCCTCCCGTTCTGAAGAGCGTTCTAAGGGCAGAGTAAGGAAAGACGACTAGCTAGGCAATCGGTTTACTTATTCAGAAAAGAGAAAGGAGAAAACATCATCCTGGAACAAGAAAGACATCACGCTGCCTTGGACCTGTTCACTGGCAAAGGACAGGGGGTTGGGCAGTGAGAGAAACCGCAGAATCCAGGGAAGAACAGCCTTTTAAATGTTAAACAGTCCCTTAAATGACAAAGATGACAAGATATGTGTTTTAGGATCTCAATGGGGCTAGTAAAATGTTTCCAATTGGATAGATGACTCTAAAGAAAAAAGTTTATATGAACAACCTTATAGGCCCCCGTGTGTTTCAAGAAATGCCTGGGGGTTAGCAATTGCAAAACTCTACTTTTACCTGTAAGTACTCCTATCCCTGAACTACACGGGGATGTGGAACCATCAGCAGTCAGGCAGTCAGACAATAAGCATTTTTTAAAAAAGGTTTACTGTGTGCCAGGCACTCCGCTAAGCCCTGAAACAACAGAAAACTGGCCCTGAGCTATCAGAGAACTCTGAACCAGGAAAGGAAATTCCCACCCTCCTCAGCTCCTCCCCCCAAGCACTACTGGACTCCGTTGGCCACTTAACCCAATGGGGCCAGGGGGAAGCAGTGGGGAAGGCCAGACACCGAGACACCCCACTGACAAAAGACTGGGAGCTGAGCAGACCCAGGAAGGACGCCTGGCGCCTGGGATAAACGGGACTTTTATTGCTGGGTTCAGAGGATTTGGGAACAAATCCAACCCTAAGAAACCTTGCAAGGTTCATTCACCATCTCACAGCCTACACACCAAGTTGTTTCAAAAAGGGTTTTAATAATCACTACGAATCCCCCCCCCCCCCCCCCCGTCCAGCCATCTCACGAATAACCTTCTGGCGAGCTGGAAACGTTTTACAGAGGACAGAGATACACCACACGCTGGCATTAAGGAGAAAATCTCGTCCAAGTCCCAATCCGTCCCCTTCCTTTCTCTCCCCCTACTTTCCCTGGGCTCAGGCAGAGAGGGCGCCTCCGAGCTCATCTGCCTGGAGCTCAGCTTCTCAGTGTCTGACTGATTTTCAGAGAATCCTAGAATCTCTGAGAGCTTACAGGGTGTCCGCCGGAGTTCCTTTTCCCCACGTGTGGAGGCCAGAGAGGGCTAAGAACTCTCAGCCCAGAAGTTGACCACGGAGTTTTTCTACCCCAAGCTCCAGGTCAGTCCTCAAAAGGAGAGTTGATTTTCCTGTCTTTCTGACTCCTCATTCCCCTTCCTAAAAAGTAACCTTGTCCTGGGCTTCTTCCTCTGTCAATAACAGTCAATCACACCTCCGACTCACCCGCCCCCCTTCCCACATTCTGAAGGAGTTCTCTATCTCCTGCCTCAAACCAAAAATAAATTCTGCACACCTCAGATGGCTAAATGTATGTTTTCTGCCCTCTCCTCCCCAGCTACAGTGGGTTTTTTTTTATTTCCCAGGCCCCCCAACAAAGTTAGAGCTTCTATCGCTAAGTACTCCCCCCCCCCGCCCTTAGCTAAGATAGATACCCTCCACTACACGCGGCATTCCACTGTACCAGGGTTGCCCTGACTCCCTCCCCTACACACACACCTCGAACTTCCCCTTCTGTCTGGGATCCTCAGCCCCCTCCCCCCCCTTCAGTAGCCGTGCTTGCTGCCCCATCACGCGTCCCCTCCCCAGCAGGGGCCGTGGCCACCGAACCCCGAAAAATGCACCTGCCCTTCCTCTCCACTTCTCCGCGTCCCCCTCAGCTTCCCTCCCAACCCTTCTCGGCGCACCTGTCCCCCGCAAGGCTGTCCGATACTCAACCCTGAGGTAGGGGCAAAGACCTAGAAGTGGGAGAACGGGGGAGGGGATTTGGGGTAGTCTTGGACAACCCAATTTGGGATGAACTTGCCTCCCTGTCCCTGGAGGCCAGAGCAAAGCCCAGGCTGCGCTAAGAAGGGAAGAGGAGAAAAGGAACCCCCTCCACCAACCTCATCATCAGGTTCCCCAACCTTGCCACCAGCCCCAGTCCAGTACGCGCACCCCAAAGTGTCCGAAAACAGTCGGTGGAGTGGGTGGGGATGGCCCCGGGCTCTGGGCAGCCCAGTGCCGCCCTCTTGCCCGCCTACCCTCCTTTCAATCCGCCTCCTTACCTTCCAACGGCGGCTGCAGTCCGATGAGCAGCCCCGGGGGCTGCCCGCAGCACCCTGACTGGCCCGGACTCGATCCCGCGCGCGCTGCCCTCTCCGGGAGCCTAGAGCAGAAGCAGCAGCCGCGGAAGCGGGAGCGGGAGCAGGAGAAGCCGGAGCCCAAGCTCGAGCCGCCGCAGCCGCCTCCGCCGCAGGGGAAACTTTCCCAGCGACGGGCCCACGAGCCAGCCGGGGCCGCCGCCGAACTTGCCGGGAGCTCGGGGCGACTCGCGCCGGCGCTGGGGCTGGGACTGGGGCTAGGGCTGCAGCTCTCGGCCTCAGTGGGCGCGGGGGAAGGCTGGAGAGGGCGGCGGCGAAGGCTGGAGCGCGGGCGCAGCGCCTCGCGGCTCGCTCTCCCGGGCTCGCGCTGCCCGGCCGCCGCCTCCAGCCGCTCTGGCTCGCTCGCTCCGCGCAGCCTCTGCTCTGCAGCCGGCTAGGAGCCCGAGACACCAGCTGCCTGCGGCCAGCGGCGGCAGCGGAGACGGCGGCGGCAGCAGCAGCAGCAGGAGCAGCAGCAGCCGGCCGGACCCGCGCGCCGACTCCACCTCCCAGCCACTGCCCCCTCCCCTCCTCCAGCCAGCTCTCCTCTCCCCAGCCTCCTCCTTCCCTCCCCAGCCCCCTCCCCTTCTCCGGTCAGCCTCGGCTCCCCGGCCTCCTCCTCCCCTTCCCAATCCCCCTCCCCAGTCCCCTCCCCACTGAACATCCATCTCCCAGCACAGGCAGTGGCCCCAGGTTCTTTCCTGCCTTGAGCCTAATCCTAAGGCTTGCAGTTCACCCTCCATAGGGATTACTGCTTTTCCCCTTCAGAGATGGGCTTCCTGGCCCTTCTCGAATGGCCAGACCTCCAGTGCTCCGACCTTATCTCCCTGTTCTTCTGGACCAGCAGGGGAAAAGCGAAGCTTGAGGGTAAGAGAGGGCCTAGAGGCTCTACGCCCTTGGGGTTCGTTTGTTTTATTTTTCTTCCAGAGAAACTTACCTATTCCCCTTTATCTGAAGTATATACATACATCCACACACATGCCATATACACGCGTCACATACATTCATTATGTTGTATACATACCTGTGTTTCTATGCATGGTGTATGTGTGTGCATGCACACATATATTTGAGTCATGCCCATTATTGCATGGAGTTCCCAATAAGCAACTCCCCCCCTCGCCCCCCAGTGCTGATCTGCACCTTGTCGGCAGCGAAGTGGGTGTTACGTGACCTCCGGGTCACTCAGCAGGACTTGTGAAGGCAGCTTGAAGCTTGTCTTCCTGACTCGGGCTAGCTCACTATGCACTGCGCCACACTGCTTCAGCGTTAGCTAATGATCACTCATAAGAATAACTCACATTTCTGTAGCAATTTAAGATTTACAAGGAGTTTTCCTCACAACGACCTTGTGAAGTTGGCGCAGCAAGTATTAGGCACTTTTTTTAAATAACATGAAGAAAAAAAAAACCTGTTAACTTCAGGCACTTCCTCCAGCTTGTTTACTATTCATTAGTTTCTCTCGGGAAGGAAGGTCCCTTAAGTGAAGAGAACACTGAGCTGGACTAGAATTAGGAAATTGATGGAGTCCAAGTTAGGCAACTCACAGCCATTGGGACCTGGAGTGGTTACTTACCCTCTCTGGTCCTCACCGTCATCTCTCCAACAGAAGGGTTGGACTACGTGGTTTCTAAGGAGCCTGGACCCCTCTAAATTCCTGTGGTTACTAGGACTTAATGGTATTTTGGAAGGAGCCCTAGTCTTAGAGCAGAAAGGGATATCAGAATCCATCTGGTTCAACTCTCTCATTTTGCATATGAGGAAACTGAGTTTCAAGGACATAAAGTGACTTGGAGCTCTTAAAACTGAGTTTGACCCCTGACTTACTAGCTATTCTGAACACTGTCTCCGCTTCATGAGGGATTCAGTTAATTGATGAACATTTATTAAACACTATGTGTCAGGCACTGTGCTAAGCTCTAAGGATACAAAAAGAGGCAAAAGACAGTCACTACCTTAAGGAACTTACAATCTAACAGGGTCAGGCTCTAGTCAGGAAACTCTAGTTTGCTTCCAGCTTTCACATTTTATGCTTCTCCATTAAGAGAAAGTAAAGCTTCCCAGAGGAACACCTGTTCTTTCTTTCTTGTCTGGTCTTTAGAGGACTTTGACCCAATGGCTGCTTTTAATTATCTGAGGAGCCCAGTGCCGTGGTTCAGCCCAGGAGAGGTTCCTGACCCAAACCTTGTGAACAGACACCTCAGATGCAAGGTCCAAGCTGAAGCAAGTGTTGGGTATCTCTTTGGGGCCAGCCCCAACCAAGACAATTTCACCCAACCCCTCCCCTCTAGGATGCAAACCCTGGACAGGCACAAGTAGTCACAGCCACAAAGTAGAGGTTCGAAACAGAATGCTAACACACACACACAAAACAAACAAACAAAAAAAACAGAGCAACAAAACCCAAGTTGCTGTCCTGTATGAGGTTGGTATCCACTGACTCTCTTAAAACTAGTCCTATGTGTGTTGCCCACGTAGGTTACGTGGGTCCACATGGGTCTATCTAGATCTAGCTCCATAGAGGAAAGTAGAGATATCCTTAGTCTCCTCCACCCACCCATCTTCAAGGGAGACTTTGATTCCAGCCAGGAGGGGAAACACTAGGTTGGGGCCAAGGGCTGGCCACTCTGTTCTCCTCAGAGGGAAGGGGTATCAGGCTATATCTATCTGCTCCCTTAAATATTATTAGCCTTGGGAAAATAGTTTTTAAGTTCAAATGCTCCTGACTTTAATGGGGAAGGAAGATCCCAACTTAAATATCCATGGTTTGACTCCCTTCCCGACAAATGCCATTTCCACAATGAATACATGTGAATAATTGATAAGCCCATTTATCCAAGTTGATAGCAAAACAGAAATCAGAGGAAGTATACATAAAATAATATATGCCCAACGATACACAAGAGGAATGAGTGCTCCCATTGGGAGGGAGATATCCCACCAAAAGGGAAATTACCTAAACTTTCTTGTGTAACAAACTGGAGATAAGGACATGATTGAAGTTGCTGGCTTCTCAACATGTCAGCTTTCTCTCCCTTCAGGGACCTGAAGAGAATCTGCAACCATGGGTCTTCTCTCAAAGCTGGAAGCCAGAAGACTAGGATCTCTCTTCTCTACCAATCTCTCAACAACTCTGCCTTTCACAGAGGAGCAGAACAGTGAATAACCAGTCTCCATGAATGAAGAGCATCTTATGCAAATGGTCTTTGAACCGTGGGTTACACACAGAACAACTAGAATATAGAACAGAGCTGAGGGGGAGGTCCTTAGAACACAGAGTGTTAAAGCTAGAATACTTTGAGCATAGAATGTTGGAGCTGAGAAGGACTATCTTTTTTTGGTCCTGTGACTTTACTGGCGCAGGGAACTCCCAGTGAGTAAACTCTCTCTACCAGTGCACAGATTGCTACACACACACACACACACACACACACACACACACACACACACACACCCCATCTTACATTCTTTGAGAATTGCCTGGGGCACTGAGAAGTTAAGTTACTTCTCCAGGGTCATAGGGCCAGTATGTATCAGGGGTAGCAGAATTTGAACCCAGGAATCCTGACTTTGAGCTTGACTCTCTGTTCACTCCACCAGGAGTTGCCTCTCTCTGAGACACCTAAGAATATGAAATGTGAGAGAGAAGGGTATCCAATGTCAGAAACAACCTTAGAACTGAGAATGTAAAATGTCAGACCTGAAAGGAAACTTGGAAAGCATCTAGCCCAACCCTCTTGCTTTATACATGAGGACAAAGGTGCCCAGAACAGAAAGTGACTTGGCTAAGATCATGAAGCTACTCAGGGGTAGAGCTGAGACTAGGATACAGCCCCAGGCTCTTTCTACTATATCACACCAATTCTATAAACATTCTCACTGCCTAAAGGGCTGATAATCTTGTCGGAAAGATTTTGAGAAAGCAATGGACCACCCACAATCCTGAACTAAATGGTGGGGTGAGGATTAGAGGTACCAATTAAGATTGGGAGAAGGAAGTAGTCTGAGAAAGCCTCACTGAAGTATGACAGCAGGGGCCAGTGAGGCTCAGCACTTACCTAGAGCCCTGGGGGTGGGAGTTTTCCCACAGAAGGGAATTTTCCAAAGGCCGATAACAACTGACACTTGGATAACACATTAAGGTTTACAAATGATTATGTGTTAGAGCTAGAAGAGGCCTCAGAGGCCTTTCTTAGTAGATACAGGAGTGGTTTTTATTTCCTTCTCCAGCTCATTTTACAGAAGAGGAAACTGAGGCAAAGAGAGTGAAGGGACTTGCTAATAAGTGTCTGATGGGGCTGCTAAGTGGCACAGTGGATAGAGCTCTGGCCTTGGAGGTGGGAGGACCTGAGTTCAAATCCAGCCTCACTCACATAACAGTCACTAGCTGTGTGACTCTGGCCAAGTCACTTAACCCCAATTGCCTTACCAATAATAATAATAATAATAAAGTGTCTGAGGCTGGATTGTAACTCAGGAAGATGGGTCTTCCCGACTCCTGGCCTGGAACTCTATGCACTGTGTCACCACCTAGCTGCCCCATTTTGTAGATAAGGAAGCCAAAACCCAGAGAAGCAACTTAAGAGGTAAAGTCAGAATTCAAACCCAGGTGTTGAGATTTCAAATCAAACCTGAAGTTTCTTATGGAAAATGGGAATTGAGAAGCACTGAAAGTCATCTTTCAGAGATGAGTTGGGTTGAGAAAACTTCCTTGTCTCCCCTCTTGGTGGAGGTGAGGGATTATAGGTTGTACAGGGAGGACTAACACCTCTGGGGAGAAGGCTTACTGAGCCCTTTTCAGGACTGCTCATCCACCTTTGGTGTCCACCTGTCACCCAGCTCTCACCTGTGGCTTCAAAAAACTAAAGCATTCATAGGAGCCACACCCTGGTAAACTGTCTTGGCACATGGGCTAAACCAGGTTGAGGGGAACCAGCAGGCCTCAAACCAGTCCGTGAGTAAGGGGGGGTGTCTACCCCAAGCACATGAAGACTTCCCCTGGAGGAATGAGCTGATGACAATGTTTCAGTCACCATGAAGGTGGCTGAAGCGGGTGCTGTGGAGATCTTACAGCTTGGTGAGATGTCAAAAGAGCCAAGGTCATCCTCTGCATCCCGGAGCATGACCAGTTGTCTTGACTTTTGTCATTCCACTGGACTTTGATGACTCTGAGAGAGAGTGAGGCTGACGACTGTGCAACTCTGCCTCATTTAAATCCAGTTCACGCAGGAGTCCAGATATCACCCTATGATGTCACTGCTCCTCTTCCAAAAGGAAGGATGAACAGCATTGCATATGCAAGGGACACGATGGATTTGTTGATTGATTTTGCTGATCTGCTTTTTTTTTTTCTCTCTCTCTCTCTTTTAAAATACTTGTTGTGAGGGATGGTTCAATGCAGGGAGGGGAGAGAACAGGGACATTTTTGGAAATTAAAGTGATGCAAAATTAAAAAAAAAAGATTTTAAAAAGAGAAAAGAAAGTCATTTTTCAAAAAATCAGAGGAATCTAGTTATTATCCTAGGCACTATCAAAGCTCCTGAAGGACTAATGCTGGGTGAGAATTCAAAATCAGATACAACACACTGATGGTTCTCAGGGTTGATCAATCTGTTACGGTGAGGCCAGACAAATTGCCATGAGATGAAGCCCCCAGAGTTATGAGGAG